TTTCAGAATCCAACATAATATGGTCCAGATGAGAAGTTTCATAATTAAAGCCTTTGTTTCATGACTGCACAGTTATATTCGTTCTGAAAAAGATTCCCTGGCACAGAGCCTATACAACACAGCAAACACTTACTTGAATCCCTGATTCCATGCTTGTCCATACATTCCATACGCAGGGACCTGCCAGCCATTAGGCATGTACTGGCCAATCTGCTGCGCATTGCCATACCACTGACCCCACTGCCCATAAGGCGGTGGGTATCCCACTTGATTCTGCTGAAAAAGTTCAAATTAAACAAAGTTAGTACATTGGTACAGGGAAGACACACAAAGGTGGATGGTTTTCAGTTACACTGCCACATGCCCCTTTGCCTTTTGCATCCTAAAGCTCATGTAATCACAAACACAAAAGTGTTTTAGTTCGTACAACAAAGCTCATTCCAAAGAGATGTATGGACTGTATTTCACAACATTAAATAATTAAATCATACCATGTTGGGGAGCTGAAGAATTTGTTATTTGTTCCATATGAAACTCAACCGTAGGAGTCAGTCAGACCAGTGGTACATCAGTGGCACATCTGCTCTGACATTGGCCTCAGGCAAAGCCAGTGTCAGAGGTAACAGAAAATAAATCGGGGATCTTACAGATGCAAAATATGTTCTCTACCATTAATTTCTGGCCCTCTTATGGGAAAACAATTGTAAGAAAGCTAAACAACTAAATTTTCAGGCAGCGCGAATAAACTGTGGAACTCGCTCCTGCAGGAGGTAGTGATGGCCATCAATTTGAACAGCTTTAAAAGAGGATTAGACAAATTCATTGAGTAGGTGCCTATCGATGGCTACTAGCCCTGATGGCTATGCTTTGCCTCCTACGGTTCTGAATACCAGTTGCTGGAAACCACAGGAGGGGAAAGGGCTCCTATGCTCAAATCCGGTTTCCTGGTTTCCCATATGCATCTGGGTGGCCACTTTGAGAAGAGGATGCTGGACTAGATGGGCCACGGACCTGATCTAGCAAGCTCTTATGCCATCATAACTTCTGCTGCCTACAAAAATACATTTATAACTCTTGCTTGTGCTTGGAGATGTCTGCAGCACAAGCAGGGGCTTGGACCACAAAAGCTAAATTAGGTAACTGAGGCACCAAGATTCGGCACTCTCCCACTTATTTCTATACAGCATGCCACCTCCACTCCCCATTTTCCAAAAGAACCCCAAGTTTGTGTCAGTGCTATAGCAACAGTACACACGCCTTAGGATGTGTTGCTAGGTCTGTGGTTAACCCTAAGATTATTTTCCTTAAATCCTCTTAAATTTATACTTTTATTCCAAGAGTTCCACAGCAAAGACAGCACAATAACTGAAGAAAGATCAACACATTTTCTAATGACCTTTTACACCTCCAGCCCCTATTATTTGTGTATGTTTTACAGTTGGATCCCATGTTAAGCAACATGTGGGAAATGATGCATATAAATGAAATGAACAACCAGTAAAGGGATTTGTGGTCTAACTATTTAGAATGAAGAAACCTACCAGAACAGAATTATTTTTTGGGGGAGGAAAAAAAAATCCCCTTTTTTTGGTAGACGCTTACCTGTTGGATTGGATTTATCATATCTGGTGTTTCTTTGCCCCAGTAACATTTCACAACATGTCCTTCTATAGTTGTGCCATTGACTGAAACAATTGCATGTGCAGCGCTTTCATGAGAATTGAACCTGTAACCATTTGAGAAAATTAATCAATAATACAAAACCCCATCAAACAACCAAGTAATACAAATCCCTCTCACCAAAAACCCATCCAACAATTCATTTCAAGGGATAATCTATCCAATATTGCAAGCTCACCGTGTGTAGATCCTTCACAATGTATGACAAATGCACAAGGCCATGGGGGGGGGGCACATCTTTGGGGAGGAAGGGCAGGATATAAATTCAACATGTAAGTAAGTCAAGAAACTTGTGAGGGCTCCAGGGAAAATTGCAGGCCTGATACATTGGGCTGCTCAGCAATCATGGCATAGCAGGAGCAAGGCTTTGGTCTTTGTGAAAGGCAATGCCTTGCAGAAAGAGAATGAAGGTGGCCACCATCATCCATTAAGCCACTGTATTAGGAGTCAGAATACTGAAAAAAGAACATCTGAGTAGCAGCTGTGATGTTAAAATCAGGTGCAAAACACCCAACAGCCCCAAGACACGCAAATGAAAGTTTTATGTGAATGACTGCAGGTTCCTGTTTCTTAGAAATAATCAACATGAATGGCAGGACACTGGAAGGAGTACACTTTAAGTCACAGTTTCAAAAAGGGATTGCAATACTTTAAACTGTACACTGTGGCATGGGCTTGCTAAAAACACACACAGGAAAGGCAAACAGTATCATACCGTACAAAGGAGTATCCTTTATCTGGGAAGACCCGAATTTCCATTATTTGCCCAAATGGAGAAAATGTCTGGCGCATCAGCTGTTCTGCAAATCAGAAGACAGAAATAAGGATGTCAGGATATGGAGTTATGGACAACTTCGTAAGGCTACTAAAAACTCATGAGGTGCCATACCTGTTAGGCCTGAAGTAACACCTCCACAGTATACTGTGCAGTTGCTTGGACTGGACTGATTCACAACATCATCATAGGATAGTTGTTTGGCGTTTGCTGTTTAGGAAATAAAAGGTTACACACGTCTCTAATTTGCCCACAAAGAAAAAAACCAAACATTTATAGAAAGAAATGGCTGTCCATTCCCCGCAACTACCATGTCCTATGCTTTGCAATATATAATTACTGTTTCAATTTACAGCCACATTCTGCCCCAAATTCTATGTGGCCAGGGCTCCTGTCCCTGAACAATTGACAATCGAAACCTGCTTGTAAGGTGTTTCACCGAAACAAAATTCTATTCAGAGCATCAAACTTACCACCTAATGGGAGGCAGCACATCAATTAAATATACTGCCTATCCCTAGCCCTAGACTGTCAGTTCTAAAAGCTTATTCTAGGCTGGAGAGGAAATATCCCCATGTGTGTTTTGGAAGCTAAAATACTCACACTCATATGTACTCTTTGGAGCTGGAGGCTTACGTGTTGCCCAGTTTGTCCTGATTTGTCTTCCACCAAGCCACTGTCCCCCCATCTGCTGAATCGCGTTTTCTGCATCCTACAGAGAAAGCAAAACACTTTCAGAAGGCAGCTCTGTAAGAAAGAAAACTACTAACAATGCTAATTTATAGAAAAATATTTGTTTCAATTACAGAATCACTTTACTACACAAAGGCTGCAAAAGCATCAGATCAACAATTATATGTGGTCTCTTTAAATTTGCAAATAAATAAATAAATACAAAAAAACCCCTCCAAATACAAAGGCAGCTTACAAAAGGCTGTTCTGTAAATAGCCCTTTTGTCCATAAATTTTCTCCAGATGCTCCAAGTACTTCATTATGCAAATGAATGCTAAATGGCAAATGAAAATAGAGACAAAAGGTGCCTCCAACAACCAGAAAAATGGGCTGGATCTGAAGTTTTATTCAGTGTGGATCCATTGTAGTGAAGTAACCTAAGTCAGTGCCATTTTAATATAAAAGATATCAACTTGCAGGTATAAAGATATGAAGCTCTATCGTTCACAGGTAATCAGCTATCAACTTCTGAAAGACTACAGTTAAGACTCCCAACCCAAACAGTACTCATTGTGTGAATTTTCCTATTGCGCTCCATGCATAGCCATGGCCATTTAGGGCCAGATTACACATGCGGGGCAACTGCATATATGCTACTCCGATTTAGTCTGCTCACATATATAATGGGGTTAAGTTGGTCTACTCTCCACATAAAAAGGAGCATGGGGGTGTGGAAGCAAAGCTCCCCACTCTCAGTTCCTTTGCCTTACCTTACTACACTTCCAGCTGTTTTCTCCCTGGTATCAAAGCAAGGCTCGGGGAGAAACTGCTTATAAGCAGCAGAATGTAAGGTGGGGGAAGATTTTACTTTCCTGCTTCCCCACAATTTGTGTAAAGAGCTTTGTATGTGAATGGGTCAAACAATTGTTTTAACATGTGGCAATTCTGCCTCCCCTCGACCAATCTTAGCTGTCAGGAAAAGTGAACTGTTACTACAGTTTTAGTACACTTTAAGCACAGTACATTAGGGCATGTGTTCCACAAACGGTGAACAAAGGATGAGGTTTTCTGACTGTAACCTCCTCCCAGAGAGAGATCAAAAGGACAGAGGCTCATGCACTGGCTCCTAGATGGAGAAACAAGTGATCTAACTCAGAAACTCACTGCTCTTGAGAAAGTTATGCTGCTGCAAACCATTTAAGACATAGAGAGCTGATAATCACTTTTGTAGATTTTTACCACGACAAAGTGATATGACTGAAAGATACCAAGAGCAACTATTTTAGCATTTCAAGTTAATGTGCACTTCCATTCATTAAGCTTCATTCAGTATTGTTGGCAGAATATTTTCAATTAGCTCTCTTAAGATAAAGGCAAGATTTTAAAGTGTCATATGTATTATGACACTTTAAGAGAGCAGTACATGTGAAAAGGATCTAGGAGTCTTGGTTGACCACAAACTTGTCGAGCCAACAGTGTGACGCGGCAGCTAAAAAAGCCAATGCAATTTTGGGCTGCATCAATAGGAGTATAGCATCTAGATCAAGGAAAGTACCGTATTTTTCGCTCCATAGGACGCACCTGACCAAAAGACGCACCAAGTTTTTAGAGCAGGAAAATAAGAAGAAAAAATCTGACTCAAATGTTGTACTAAACTATTTAAAACAGCAAAGTGGGTGGCTCCTGTCCACTTTGCTGCTTTAAAGCGAGCCACGATATATAATGAAGAGAATGGAAAAAGGACAGACATTCCATTATAATGTAGCTGTTTTCATTATCACTGGGAAGTCAGTATTGGCAGCAGTCACAAAAATTAAAATTTGAGCATTTTACTGTTATTAATCAAGAATATTAATAGTCAGGGAGAGAAACCAGGGCTGTGCAAATGAGAAGTGCTTGGAGTACGGAGGAACAGCAAAGAGATCAAATGATTGTGCTCCAGTTCCTAAATCTCTGAAGTTTTCTCAAAACAGGCATGGTTGTTTTGAAAGGAAGATTCAAAATGGTGTGACCGAGCAAAGAACAGAGGAGGAAAAGAGGGCAGATAAATAGCTTCCATTCAATAACAAGAGAACACAATGTTTTTGGTTTGGTATAGGTGGACTGTACTTGTAAGAATTTGTATAATGAATTATAGATTTGGAGTGGAATATCAGTGCCTCTTTTCAGCAATAAAGATTAGCTGCTAGGAACATGGTCCACACACAAACACACAGGATGTCTGGTTATAGTTGTGTAGTTTAAACTGTTACTGAGCCAGATGCCTGCTCAGTTTTAGCTGAGCTCACTAATACTGGATTGTGGAAATGCTTTGCATGTATTTATGACTATTTCTGCAAAACTGCTACTTGAAGAAATCCCCAAACTTAATATTTTTAAAGTTCAAATGGAGCTCAGAATCCGGTTAGGCAATCCTTTGCAGTTGAATTAGGAGGCACTGAGAGACAGCAATTTGCTGCTCCCCACCCCCACGAGCACCCCAGGAACACACAGCCTTCCCTCTGCTTGCAAACCTTGTCCGGGCTTCAGGGGAAAGCAGAAGCTGCCGGCAGAGCCGCTTGGCTCCTCCCCCCCACCCCCAAAGAGCAGCCCAGGAACGCAGGGCAAAGGCGCACAGCCTTCCCTCTGCTTGCAAACCTTGTCCGGGCTTCAGGGGAAAGCAAAGGCTGGAGGCAGAGCAGTCTGGCTCCTCCCCCCACCCCCAAAGAGCACCCCAGGAACACACAGCCTTCCCTCTGCTTGCAAACCTTGTCGGAGCTTCAGGGGAATGCAAAAGCTGCCGGCAGAGCCGCTTGGCTCCTCCCACCACCACCAAAGAGCACCCCAGCAGCGCAGGGCAACAGCGATTTGGCTCCAGGGCCCACACATTCGCTCCATAAGACGCACAGACATTTTCCCTTCCTTTTTAGGAGGAAAAAAGTGCGTCCAATGGTGCGAAAAATACGGTAATAGTGCCACTGTATTCTGCTCTGGTCAGACCTCACCTGGAGTACTGTGTCCAGTTCTGGGCACCACAGTTCAAGAAGGGCGCTGACAAACTGGAACGTGTCCAGAGGAGGGCAACCAAAATGGTCAAAGGCCTGGAAACGATGCCTTATGAGGAACGGCTAAGGGAGCTGGGCATGTTTAGCCTGGAGAAGAGGAGGTTAAGGGGTGATATGATAGCCATGTTCAAATATATAAAAGGATGTCACATAGAGGAGGGAGAAAGGTTGTTTTCTGCTGCTCCAGAGAAGCGGACACGGAGCAATGGATCCAAACTACAAGAAAGAAGATTCCACCTAAACATTAGGAAGAACTTCCTGACAGTAAGAGCTGTTCGACAGTGGAATTTGCTGCCAAGGAGTGTGGTGGAGTCTCCTTCTTTGGAGGTCTTTAAGCAGAGGCTTGA